ATTCTCTATTTGATAGACTTACATGCTTCTTCATTTAATAGAACTCAATGCTACGTTCGAAACATCATTTTCATACAACACGTAGTTTACAAAAAAGAATTAGGATGAAAGAGCTAAATGATTCACCCTGTATTACCGTGGTGTTGTGATCTCCATTTCGTAAATATTCTATATAAAATTATGATTATATTTGTGCTGCATGTGAACATATTTATTAAATTATCTTGCGTACAATGACGTAAATATTCATTAACGTAGCGTGACACGACGCGAGTAGCACATGAACAATCGTATAACAATGCGTATACATGTTAAAGTTAATACAAAAACCTACGTTAGGAGAAAAACGATTATTTATAAACAATCGATGTTAGGTATTCATCCATAGTCCAAGATTGCTCCGTTGAAATTAACGGTGTACTCTAACCATGACAAAGTGAAACGATACTCCGGGCAAAGATAAATGCATTTCAGATAACCTAAAGTAATATCCGCGCAAGTTTCCCATTTATCTGACGTTTATGGAACTTGAGGCGCACCGAAGGAACGGTCTCTTAACGTTTGTTTCGATTATACCGAGTGTCCCGAAGTGAACTTCCAACGAGAAAGTAGGTGGGTTTGTTCATTTGCGTGGGTAAAGCAGCGCGCAGCCTCGCGAAATATTCGACGCTCCCGGGCGCGATTTCGGTACCCGGCATAAATTTCATCCGCATCGCGTCCGCCATTTTGCCGACGAATTGCAGTGATTCTAATGCTAATCGGACAGCACGTTTTTCCCCGTGTTTCCGTGTAACCGGCCTGTTCCGTGTAAATTATTCCGGCGTAAGTCCGCCCCTTAGTGTACGCACGTATTTCATAAATTAAATTTAATTTCCACGTGTCCGCGGTACGTATTGGTACACATATATGTACACGTAGCCAGAGAGACGTATATATATATTTATGCGTATTTCTTCGTTGCGGGAGGTAAAATATGCTTCGCGCAGTTGGGCTGCCGCATCGAGAGTTAAAAACAGCGGTCCAGCAGTTTGTTTCACTTTCATAAAATGGAAATGTGGAAAGTGCTTTTTTTCTTGCGAGCTCTCTCTCTCTCTCTCTCTCTCTCTCTCTCGCTCTCGCTCTCGCTCTCTCGCTCGCTCACTCGCTCTATTTTCCCCACTCGGAGCTTCCATCGATAAGCGTCAAGGCTGGGAAACAAGTTCCAACGAAGTCGGGTATTAAAGCCATTCGTTTCCAGTTTGAAGCGTTACTTTCCCTGATAGATAATATCCAGTACCGGCGCCATTATTAACGGAAGAACGCACTCGGATATTGTAGACTGATTGGTTTAACCATTATACACTAATGGAAAGTGCATAATAGATCTCGTTCTGTTAAGTTTGATTTCGCTTATTTCCTGCTCGGACAGTTTCGAATTTGACCAATCCATTCCGCAAATGGAAACAGGAAAAAAAGGAATCACCGCGCGAACAGTATTTCTACCGACTTCAATTCAACTTTTAATACCATCAATTTTTTGTCCAGAGAAGAGCGATACGATACTCGTTGCGGGAACGGAATTTTCGCTAAAATGTTCCTTAGCGCGGCCGAATACAACATAGATTCGGCGCAACGGACTATAATTTCTCCAATTAACGAGTTAATCGCAAACCGATATTTTAAGGCAAGTGGTCAGCGTTCATTATTGCGGTCATTGTATATTCGGGGTGCCGTTGAACGCGCTCAATATTTGTTTATTCATCCAAGTGTCAGGCTGTAATGGAATAAATGCGTTCTCGGCGTTTCTGTCACTTACACTGCACATATGGTCGGGAACTATCAAAATTAATTTAATAGTACATACGCGGGCGCGATACGGATTTCGGTTTCGAAATGCTTTCGATCAACAGAGCGTTCCGACAAAATGCCGCTTTCAGCTATTTATTTATTTAAGTGCGCGAATACCACGTTTCTCCGCTCCATTTGTTCCAATCTGCAATAGGAAGCACGATACTGTATTCACGAACGTTCATCCTACCGAAAAGGTGCCATTTTATCGAAAGGAAGCAACCTTTAAATCCAAAATCGATGGCACAGCCAATATCATAATTACGTACTTCGGTCGCATTTCTGTGTCGAGTGTGATGAGCTACCTTATTGGAAGTCGCGATTTCGGCTATGAAATTTCGTTCGNAGAAAGTAGGTGGGTTTGTTCATTTGCGTGGGTAAAGCAGCGCGCAGCCTCGCGAAATATTCGACGCTCCCGGGCGCGATTTCGGTACCCGGCATAAATTTCATCCGCATCGCGTCCGCCATTTTGCCGACGAATTGCAGTGATTCTAATGCTAATCGGACAGCACGTTTTTCCCCGTGTTTCCGTGTAACCGGCCTGTTCCGTGTAAATTATTCCGGCGTAAGTCCGCCCCTTAGTGTACGCACGTATTTCATAAATTAAATTTAATTTCCACGTGTCCGCGGTACGTATTGGTACACATATATGTACACGTAGCCAGAGAGACGTATATATATATTTATGCGTATTTCTTCGTTGCGGGAGGTAAAATATGCTTCGCGCAGTTGGGCTGCCGCATCGAGAGTTAAAAACAGCGGTCCAGCAGTTTGTTTCACTTTCATAAAATGGAAATGTGGAAAGTGCTTTTTTTCTTGCGAGCTCTCTCTCTCTCTCTCTCTCTCTCTCTCTCGCTCTCGCTCTCGCTCTCTCGCTCGCTCACTCGCTCTATTTTCCCCACTCGGAGCTTCCATCGATAAGCGTCAAGGCTGGGAAACAAGTTCCAACGAAGTCGGGTATTAAAGCCATTCGTTTCCAGTTTGAAGCGTTACTTTCCCTGATAGATAATATCCAGTACCGGCGCCATTATTAACGGAAGAACGCACTCGGATATTGTAGACTGATTGGTTTAACCATTATACACTAATGGAAAGTGCATAATAGATCTCGTTCTGTTAAGTTTGATTTCGCTTATTTCCTGCTCGGACAGTTTCGAATTTGACCAATCCATTCCGCAAATGGAAACAGGAAAAAAAGGAATCACCGCGCGAACAGTATTTCTACCGACTTCAATTCAACTTTTAATACCATCAATTTTTTGTCCAGAGAAGAGCGATACGATACTCGTTGCGGGAACGGAATTTTCGCTAAAATGTTCCTTAGCGCGGCCGAATACAACATAGATTCGGCGCAACGGACTATAATTTCTCCAATTAACGAGTTAATCGCAAACCGATATTTTAAGGCAAGTGGTCAGCGTTCATTATTGCGGTCATTGTATATTCGGGGTGCCGTTGAACGCGCTCAATATTTGTTTATTCATCCAAGTGTCAGGCTGTAATGGAATAAATGCGTTCTCGGCGTTTCTGTCACTTACACTGCACATATGGTCGGGAACTATCAAAATTAATTTAATAGTACATACGCGGGCGCGATACGGATTTCGGTTTCGAAATGCTTTCGATCAACAGAGCGTTCCGACAAAATGCCGCTTTCAGCTATTTATTTATTTAAGTGCGCGAATACCACGTTTCTCCGCTCCATTTGTTCCAATCTGCAATAGGAAGCACGATACTGTATTCACGAACGTTCATCCTACCGAAAAGGTGCCATTTTATCGAAAGGAAGCAACCTTTAAATCCAAAATCGATGGCACAGCCAATATCATAATTACGTACTTCGGTCGCATTTCTGTGTCGAGTGTGATGAGCTACCTTATTGGAAGTCGCGATTTCGGCTATGAAATTTCGTTCGAATATTTCGTTCAATCAAAACGGCGCTCTCGGGCATTCCGATCTATTTATCCGCCGTTTCATAATGTCCATTATAAAGAATCCACACGTTCTTATCCCGTAACGGAACCATTTTATTGGAACAAAACATCTTATAGGTCCGAGATCGTTCGAAGCCAATGTAAAAAGTTCTTTTATCACGTCTTTATACGACATAAAATTACTATGAAAACACGTTGACGGCCGTCACTTTGGCTCCGAGAGGTTTTACACCTCTTCCGTGTTACGCTCCGACAAAATGGCACCTTTCATGTCCTTATTGAAACGTGCGACTGATTCGTTTGTCCATTTAACACGAGCGCAACTCGTCTAATTTAATAACAGATAATTCGAAAGATGTTACCGTCAATTTTCAGATAACAATAAAAGAATATTCAAAGCAGCCTCGCAATGTATTGTACTTACGAGTTCAGCTAACAAAGGGCACTACTTTACGGTAAAATGAACACCGTGGCGATCCGTGGTAATCGTCCTCGTTTTACGACAATAAAATGTGTTACCAAATGTGTTCACTTGATCGTCGCTTTGACAGTCACGCTGTCGTCTCGGGAATTTAATAAAATCAACGTGTTTCATTCGGTCACATTAAAATTGAAAAGTTCGGTTCTACAACGTCGATTACAATTTTGCGATTCTTAAGAGCAAAATTAGAAAGATGAAATAAATTAGCGTAGAAATAAATTTCCGAATTTGAGCGAACGATTCGGTCAAAGTATTATTGTATCGAGAAACAGCGTGATAAATATTGAAACGCAGAGGCGAACAAAGCGACGGAAGCGACGTGACGGACAATCTATAAGGATCCGAGGATTAGATACCCGAAAAGGTGGCATTGTACAATGAAAATAGAGATGAATAGAAGTTTGGAGCAAGCTGACGACTCCAGCTGGCAGCGTTTCCCAGAAAAAGGTGTAGGTAGCATTTCCTAGAAAAGGAATGGGGAAGCGGTTGGGAACGGAGATCAGGACGACGAGAGCCCGAACGTGCACGGTAGTCCCATGAGTTCGGGCGAAGGATCGGGAGGCTTTCGCAGACCCTTCATCCGGCCTACAATAAAGCGGCGGGGGTGGGGCGATACGTTTAACCTGAAGAGCAAGCAGGTGCGTTCGTTCAACCCACGACCGGGCTGCAGTTTACCTGCGGGAGTGTCTGGCAGCGCACCTACGCGCGTCGTGTGTCGTCGTCGTCGTCGTCGTCGTCGGGTCTCGTCACCGCTCTGGCAGCTCGCGGGCGGAAACTCGGTCAAAAATCGATCAAAAATTCAGGCGGCGCCGAACCGCGGCCTCGATCCTGTTGCGGATACACGCGAGCGACGCGCGGCGCGGATCGGCGTTGAACAGCGCGAGTAAAAGCGGGAGAGAAAGAGAAAGAGAGAAAGAGAGAGGAACACACAGTGTACACCGCTCGTATGGAAAATTTCGATCGATTATTAACAGCCGGCGGTGTCTATTGAAATTCACGCGATTAGCGGCGGTGATACGAAGTACATGTAAACTAATTTCGGCCTGTACAAGCTGCGCCGGCCGCGTGTTTAATCATTCTCCGCGGCTCGTCATTATCTTCCGGCGATTTGCGGGAATTAATTAGACCGGCGCGACGCGGCCGTGCCTTTGTGTTTCCCTTCGCGCGTGTGTACTGGCACTTCGGATATTTTCATGGAAATCAACCGGCGGACATCGAAGTGCGCCATCATCCGCTCCGCCCGTCGCCGTTGTCCTTGTTGTTCTTCGCTGGATGCGCCGGAGAGTGAAACCGTGAGTCCTCGTTTTGCAACGGCTGTTTGTTTGTGTTAGAGAATTTGTATTCCGCGACCGATACAACAGGTCTTGTGACGGTTCGTTCGCTCTTTTTTTCTCTCCCTCTCTCTCTCTCTCTCTCCCTCTCTCTTTCTCCCTCTCTCTTTCTCCCGTTGATCATCCCGCGAGTAACGCAGCTAGATTGAAGTTTGGATTATTCGTAGCGTGTTCCGGCCCGCGCGCTCGGCGTAAAGCACAAACTTCGTTGCGATTGAAACGATTTTGCACTAGCCGCGGACCGAGTGCGAATCGTTGCGCGCTTTGGCGGCACTGCGAGTATTGTAGTTTAAGTTTTATCCGGAGTATCAGAATTCATTTGGACCGGGAATTGAATTTTCTTTTTTAACCGGGCCTCCCGTTCATATTCGGACAGTCTTTAAATGGGAATAACTTTCCGTAATCGGATGAAACGAGTTTCTCCGGGAAGCTACGAAAGCTCTATCAAGAGGGAGAATTTTTTATTTGTTACTCTCGCAGCAGCAACGTCCGCCGATCAAGATAAACGTTTTAGAATATATCTATCGCTGTCCCGTAAAAACTATTCGTGTCACAAGCTTTTAAATTTAACTTCATGCATTGATTGAGCTGCACAATATGGGATTTACTGGAATAGACTGAAGAATATAAAACAGCAAGGAAACGATATTAATACGAAAGGCTGGTAATCATAATCTTTCGCGCAATGATGGTAATTTTATTTTACTATCGCAGTCTATCATTTCATCACTTTTCAAACTTTTGATACTTGCCCGGATCACACAAAGCAGGCTTCTGCATTTATTTTCGTATTACAACTCCGATTTCACAAAAGTTTTACTACACATCGTTTAATAAGCTAATCCCTCCGAACAGCTATAACTCAATATAACTTTGAAATCACAGATTATTATCTATCCTGCCTTTTGGATCTCAGACAGAGTCTCAAAAATATTTTGTTCCGTTGTTCCTCCTTCGTAACGCATTCTGATTTTTAACTCCTACTTCACAATCAGATCAAATTCAATTTTTGTTGAAATCGTGAATACATTGTTAATTTATACCTAAAGCTGAATATTGACTAGTTTCTGTAAATCTCTTATAACCGCGCGAAAGACCAAGACCGTATGAGTTTAACTTCTGAAAATAGGTTCAAACCGTCCGGTACAATTTTGTAAAAGTTATCTCTAAAAGAGTGCTCGAGTATTAACGGCAGTGCTGTATAAAATTAACTAGAGCGTAAAACAGCGACCATATTGGTTGTTCACTGGGAAAGGGTTCTTTCGAACGAGTGGCATCCGAAAGCCAACGTTTCCGCGATGGTGAAATTTTTGCGACGTTGATTTCGAATCACCTTGCGCCACAATGCTCGTGATTTTATAACGCAGCGAAGTACGGTAAACACAACTTCGCGACTATTCCCCTTTCGAAAACCGTCTCTCGCGGAATTTTTCCGAAATGACTTTACGCCGAGTCCCGTTCCGCTTCGCCGGCGAGCTCGAGCGAGAAATCTTGATTTCAGGGAAATTTTGTATAAGCGTAATGCACGTCGAAATACGCGCGCGCGCGCGCGCAAAAGAAAAAAGAAACTGCACGTAGGTGGGCGCCGTCTTCGGAAATTTGCTTCCGAAAAGAGACCGCACTTCGCGGAATATTCAAACCGCCGCCGCATTTCGTTGCACCCAATTTGATGTTTCAGCGTCGGTGCGAATTGCCATTTTTTTCGACTTCGTCCCGGTGTGGCCGGAAGTTCGCCAACTCGATAATTAAAAATTCGGCTTACGTTCCTCACGCACAAAATGGTCAACGACTAATTAAAAATTTAGTTTAGATAGGTAACTGCAAAAACGGCGAATGCATTATTCAAAAGTTCGCTACCGCACGATAAAAAAATGGAAATATAACCGCCGAATTATCTATTATTAAAATTCATTTCGCATATGCGACACGATTTATTGTACAAAGCAGCGTGAACAATCGATTCGTACAGTATTCATAAAGTATCCGTACCCTTTTATCCCCGAGCCTGTAACGAGAAATTCAAAAATTAATTTTGTAGATTCCGTTCAAAAGAAAAAAAAGATAAACGTACTTACGCGAATTGCCTTGCGCGACCGACCGTAACGAGCAATCCTAATTCTAATCAAGGTTTTAATCAAGGTTTCGCTGTGCACTTGTCCGCAGCTTAAAAACTACTTCAAAAGGAATTTCGAACCATCGAAAAGCTCGGAGGTCACACAGCTAATTAAGCATTTGCTGCCGGGTGCAATTTTCCACGAATTACATTTCCAAAAAATCGAGCCGCCGATGCCGAAACCGTACCGCGACTATACGAGATCCTCCCGGCGGAATTTTTCCAATTAAAATGAAGTCTGTAGAGAGACAATAACTGGCTCGAGAACGTGAAACTTCTTTTGCGTAAATTATTCAACGCGAATCGAGTTTCCGTGGCAATTTCCAGCTGAACGATTAATGGAGAAATAACTCGATTTCTTAGTCGCCGGAAATCCCTGGCCGGACGGCAAGGTGACAAAGGTTTTATCGAGCGTGTGTGCGTGTGTGTGTGTGTGTGTACGGTGTAACTGCGCACGGGCACCGGTACACGTGCCCTTGTAAACACGGATGCTAGTCGTTTTTCAAGGTATTAAATATTGCGTAAATCCCGGGGCTTGTTTAGCCACGCTCAGACAGCGTTACAAGGGGGCGGGGGGCGGGCAACGTTCAAGAAAATCGTCCGGTATCGACATCCGCTTGCTCCACCTTTCAATTACACGGCCCGTTGTTTGCCGGGCTCCGAGGATGGTAAACAGAATCGTACGTTTCTTTTCAAAGCCGTTGCTCGCAGCGATTCCACTCCCCCTTGCCGTCCCGCGCCCCTCCCACGGCCACCCTCGTTCGCCGGCATTAATTAGCGGCTTAATTAAATGAAGTTTGCGATCGTACCTTAGACGGCAGCTACAAAACGGCCCGGGATCGTAAGACTCTTGATTTAGAACAAATTTCAGATCGGTTTACACGAAACGTTCCCTTTTTATACGGCGAGGACGCGACGTTTCAGTGTCCGTTGGGTCAAGAATTTTTTTTCTTTCCTTCTTTCTTCTTTTTTTAGAAAGCGCTCTTCGCGAATTAATGAACGGTGCAAAGATCAATTTCCGGCTCTGAAACCCGGTAAATGATAATTAGCTGTTTTAATAGCGGTCGGGATATTGATCAATTTCTGATTCATTTACTGTGTGCAGCGTGCTTTCGAATTAAATGCCGAAGGGATATTCTGTTTTCTTTTCTTTTTATTTAAGGAGAAAGAGAAAGAGAGAGAGAGAGAGAAGTTCTTCGACATTTCTTTTTTACGGAAAATAACGAATGAAGTTAATTAATCTGAGACTTTGTGTACGGTTCTCGTTGTACTTTCACGATACTTGTTGACATTTTTTCAGTTTGTGGTACTTTTATAGAGAAATGTTTCGTTTTCGAATGTCTTTTAAGTCGTTAGTGTTTTATTGTCGTGCATGTATCTACGAGCACAAATGTTCTCCGTATGTGCTATTAATTATTACATTTAAAAAATGTCGATTGTTTGAGAAGTTGATAGGTCTCCGCCATTAAAATAATCTTTACGTAGTTCTGTAGAATTTCGATCACCGGAGATTCCATTAATAGGCGTTGAAAATTTCACAAGCCGAATAATCGAAAATATCGTTAACACGTTCCGTGCCACGTGTATCATCGATGGTACACGCTTGCATGTTTACTTAGTGAACTGAACAAATTGTTTACAAGAAATTTAGAACCGAAGAATCAATTTCCACCGCAAGAATGGGCGTTGATAAGTTTTTGTTACGTTGTTATGTGTACGAGAATTAATAATTGCACGTAATACATCAAGTTTTAGTAAAATATCAAAGTGTGAAGATTCGAGTAAAAAAAGCTCGGCACGGAACGTGTTAATAATAGT